ACCATTTACAGAAGAAGTCAAATCAAAAACATCGTCATGTATGACTGCGACATTTCTACTTTTTGAGAATGCTAGGTCACTGATTGCGGAGGGTGAAAGACCTTTTTGACCAACAAGATGCTTATTCCTCATTCTAATCAATATCTCCTCCGAGTACCAATCAGGACGATAGTCATCAGTGAAATAACGAAAATCGTGATACTTTGCGAATGGATTAGTTGCTGTACCGTTGGCCATTGTAACTGATGGAGGAACTCCAGCACACAAAGCACTAATCTGCACGGGGAATAAATCGGAAGCGTCCAGACCACTAAACGACATCAAAGTTTTTTGATCAATGAATGATGGGATGTGGAGTGGAGCAAATTCTGATTTTATTAATGGATTGATTCAAGATTTGTTTGTAGGGAGTAAAGGAAGTGATATCAGTAAACAATTCGATGCGTTGGAACTTGATCCACAACTCAAGTCTGATCAGTTGGCTTGTATAAAAAACTTGTATTACATTGGCAAAGTTGATCATCGTAATTCAGCACAATGTCTTTTCTCGAGGTATGTTTTGCTTGCATTTTCCACAGCAATTGTGGCAGTTATAGGATTCAAATTTTTGGCAGCTTTGCAACTAGGCACAAAACGTGAACCAGAAGAACATGATAAATTTGTTATTTGTCAAGTACCATGTTACACTGAAAGTGAGGATTCAATGAAAAAAACATTGGATTCATTGGCAATATTGAAATATGATGATAAAAGGAAATTGTTGTTTATAGTTTGTGATGGTATGATTGTTGGTAGTGGAAATGATAGACCCACACCACGTATTGTTTTGGACTTACTGGGAGTAGATCCAAACCTGGATCCTGAACCATTAAGCTTTTTGTCATTGGGTGATGGGGCTAAACAACATAATATGGGCAAGATATATTCGGGATTGTATGAGTGTAATGGACATGTGGTGCCATATCTTGTTGTTGTCAAAATGGGTAAACCAACTGAACGATCAAGGCCTGGTAATCGTGGTAAACGTGACTCGCAAATGATATTGATGAAATTTTTGAATAAAGTCCATTTCAATTCAGAGATGACACCGTTGGAATTGGAGATGTATCATCAAATCAAGTATGTGATAGGTGTGAATCCAAGTTTTTACGAGTATGTGCTTATGGTTGATGCCGATACAGAGGTTATGCCCGATTCATTGAATCTATTGGTTTCAGCATTTATACATGATACAAGGGTCATGGGATTATGTGGCGAGACAACATTAGCAAATGAGAAGAAATCATGGGTCACTATGATACAAGTTTACGAATATTTCATATCACATCATCTTGCAAACGCTTTTGAATCATTGTTTGGTAGTGTGACATGTTTACCGGGATGTTTTTGTATGTATCGAGTGAGAACACCAGATTCGCTTAAACCATTACTGATTAGTAATCAAGTTATTGAGGACTATTCAGAGAATATAGTTGACACATTGCACAAAAAAAATTTATTACATTTGGGTGAAGATCGATACATGACCACGTTGATGATGAAACACTTTCCAAATTATAAAATGACATTTGTACCGGATGCACAATGTAAAACCACAGCACCTGATCAATGGTCTGTATTGATATCACAACGTCGTAGATGGATCAATTCCACAGTACATAATTTGATGGAATTGGTGTATTTGCCACAACTTTGTGGATTCTGTTGTTTCTCAATGAGATTTGTGGTGATGCTTGATTTGTTTGCAACACTTATAATGCCAGCAACCATATTATATATGGGATATCTGATTTACACAATTATCAAAGATCCATCAACAATACCAATTACATCAATAATGTTGTTAGCCGCTGTTTATGGACTACAAGCTGTAATCTTTATATTTAGGAAGAAATGGGAACATGTCGGATGGATGATAGTGTATATACTTGCAATGCCTGTTTTTTCATTCTACTTGCCAATTTATGCATTTTGGCATTTTGATGATTTCTCATGGGGTAATACACGTATGGTGGTCGGTGAGAAGGGCAAGAAGATGTTGTTGACAGATGAGGGAAAATTTGATCCAAAAAGTATTCCGAAAAAGAAATGGTCAGATTATGAACAAGAGTTGTGGGAAGTCAATACAGAAGGGTCACAAGAATCAGAACGTTCAAGGGTTTCAGATAGATCATCTAAAAGTAATAGAAGCAATAGAAGTAGATCTAACACTTATAGTATTAATAATTATAGTGCTAATAGCATTTTTAACGCTGGTGTTTATAATGGTGGTGGTAGACCTGGTTCACGTGCTGGGTCTACATATGGAAAACCACAAAGATATTAGAAAATTAAGAAAAAAAACAATTTATTTTTTAATGTTATTAAATTATTTAAATTATTTTTCGCAAACATAAATAGATAGATTAATCTTTTTGTATAATTTTAATTTAATATTATTTTTTTTTTTTAAAAAAAAATTACATTTCACAAGATGTGTATAATATAATAAACAAACTAAAATCTTTTAGCATTTTAACAAATTTAATCATCATAATTGCTAGTTAGTAATGTTAAAATTGTGATGCCAACCAATTTGATCTCTACAGTACACTCCATCCATATATTAAAGAAATTAAAATCTCAATATTTATATTAGAGCTCACGGGTCTTAATACAGTTGCACAAAAAGAATTCTGTAACGGTCTTTTTTGAAAGCATATGCCTTTTCAGAGGGGTTCCTTAATATTTTATTTTTCTTTATATTTTTGAATTTTTCTTTGTTAAATATTCATATTTAAAAAAAGATTTTTGTTCCGCGATAACTATTATTTTAATATTAAATGGCTGTGGCAAAAGGAAGGAAGAGCTTTCGAATTAAAAATTCAAAATGAATTTAACAGAAACAAAGTAGACATTTGTAAAACTGTGTGAGAATTCTTTTTTATCCACTAAGTAGTTGAGCTATTATGTATCTTGTTTTTCATATATCAAGATTTCTACGGGGGACGCCTTTAGGGAAATACTGTTGTGCTACTAGGATTTAAAAATCAAAAGAATTGAAAAGTCCAACGTGGCACATTACTTTGTAATGGAACGTTTCTTCTTTTATCTGAAACGCTGCTGACCCTGTGTCGGAGCTTGTAGGATAATAATATACATGAAAAAAAATAAAAGCTCATCGTGGCCATAACTTGTGAAAGTTACCAGTCAGGTTCCGGTCCCGGACGACCTGTTATGAACGTTTATTTGCTTCTTGATAGCGATGAGATTAATTACCTTTTTTTATATATTTAGACATAATTAGATTTGTTTGGAGTATTTGAATATAATCAAATTAAAAAATGTCATAATTGTTCAATGCAAGGTTATTATTAGAGATGGGCAAATGGCGTATAGTTGAACACTATACGACACTATACGATACTTTACGTATAGTGCGTATAGTACGT